AAATTGAATTGGGTTCTGAATCTTAGTTTAACACTGAGCAAAATAGTTTTCTATATTTCGTCAGAAAATTGATGCCATTTTATGATTTCTGACTGTGTTCTGAAGCCAAGACTTAAAGAATTTCATACTTAGTATTTTTAGTGGAGCTCTGTACTGAAGGAAAAAATGGTCAGCAGCTTGTAGGCATTTACAATATGCCTACAAGCAAGGTGAGAATTTTTGCCAATGAGAAAATAAGTTTCCTAAATAAAAGTAAAATCTGCTTAAAGTTTGATTTTTGATGACTTCATGGAATATCCACATGTCATTCCCTTCTTTTGAGATGTTTTATCAGCTTTCCAGCCTAGCTGAGAACTTAGGATTTCTTGATGGTGTCTTATCCAAATACTAATCCTATCCAAGTGCTGCAGGTTCCATCAATTAAACAATGCCATCTATCAGGACCCTGAAAAAATGCCTTCTCTGTAGTAGCACCTGCTCCCTGGAATGAGACTCTCTCGAGATTCGAACAGTTCCCACCCTACTGGTATTTTGAAAGGCCCTGAAGATGTGGCTATATAGTGCTGTATTCTCTGTGTTCTTTTATTTTATGTTATTTTTGGGTTTTTGTATTTTTTTCCTTTTTAAAATATTTTTATTCTAAACATTATGATTGATTGCACAGTCAACTAGATGTTCAGAATGGATTTGGTATTTTTATCCACCTATTGAGTCCTATCCACAGACTTGGGATAGGCAGATGTTGATGTTTGATGGTGTTAGAGGTATCATCGCAGGATGTAAGCTGTTCTGAGTAAAGCTGCCTTTCGCAATTGACTGATAGTGAATTTGTCAACGCTGCTGATGTTCAATTGATGCTCCAGTTGTATTTTGTGGTTTCCTCCAGTTCTTTCTCTTCTGTTCTGCTGTTTCCAGGTATTGCCACCTCCACTATTCTCACTTTTTTGTTTTTCTTATTGACAGTTGTTAAGTCTGGGGTGTTATGTGGCAGTTGCTTGTGTCTCTGAATTCTAAAGTTCCAGAGTACTTTGGTTTCTTCATTTTCTATGATTTTCTCTATTTTCTGGTCCCATCAGTTCTTGCTTGCAAGCAAATTGTATTTCTTGCAGATCTTATAATGCACCATTGTTGTTATTTGTCATGCTGCTATTTGTAGTCAGTCTGTGCAGTCTTATTGCAGTGTTGAACCAGGTTTATTATTACTGACCACATTCAATCCTGCCTAGTTTCTAAGATACAGCCAATCCTGTCTAGTTTCTAGGTGTTGTCCCATCATTGGGCTCTCAGAACAACAAGTAAACCTTCAATGACCTATTGTAGAGCTGTTTGAACACCAGCAGATGCTTGCAAATGTGCTGATGTGAGTCTAACACAAATATCTCATGTGGAAGTGCTACAGATTTAATGTAATGATCCTTATATAACAGTATCCTGAGATAATAATCTCAAGAACCTGCATGAATTTTCCTTCAATATTTAATTTTAGCTTGCAGATAAAAATGAAAGCAATTGTAGGAATTGGGCTGACACTAAAGCCTAAAGTCAAACAATTTCTTCTTTATTTGCTTGTTCAATTAAAACTGGTTTTTCTTGGGTCCTTGTTTTTCTACTTCCTTCTTTGCCTTATCTTTCCATTGTTATTAAATTCAATTAAATCTTTTCATTTGAAAGGTGGAGCCGACTGTAAGCCTGCAGATTTTGTATTTGCTTTTAGTAAAAATCTACAATATGACCCCTATTTAATTAAAAGTAATATTGGCTTTGCATTGAAGAAAACATGCAGTTTTTAAGGTGAGGGAAATGGAGATCTTTGCAGAAATTTTTGAAACTCTTTTTCCAGGACTATTTACTAAGAGCATGTGGATGCTTCAAAATGATCTGGAAGAAGTGCTTTGGATGTCAGGTAAATGTAGCACCTCTGTGATGTTTATTAAAGCAGCCTGACTTTTTTTCAGAGTTTGGCACAAGACTGAGAAAAATACTCAGCTGCTTTAACAATCATATTAAATTTAATGAGTCAACTCACTTTTGAATTCTACATAGTCCTTGTGATTATTGTGTAATGCACACATAATATACTGCCTTGAACATTAGTTTTTCCAATTCAGCTTTTATTTTGTAACAGTTGTGAATAAATGAGAACAGGTGTAGAAGTTCTAGTTCTGAGAATGCCTGATTGCAGTTCCAAAGAGTACATAATAGAAAGAAGTACACAAAGTAACCAGACTTGTTCATGGTATATGTTGAAAACTTCTTGCAAAAGATTTTGTGAGTCAAATGCCCTTTCAACATCTCTAACATTATTGATGTAACTTTTTTTAAAGCAAAGATATTGCCATTCACATTTAATCATGTCCAGAATTACAGATTGTTATTTAAATTTATTAGCCCCCCAATTATAGTGGACTCTGAATGGTTGATTAATGTGTTTTTGTATTTATAGATCCAAACATCAGAAAGAATACATATTTTTGTAAACCCATCCTATTATATTTATAAGCAATCTCTTCCTCTCTCTCTCTATTGATACTATATTGTGGTATCTATAATATCTTGTTAATATAGTTTTGTGGGAAAGAAAGTTTACAGAGAATATATTGGTGAAAGGCATAATTGCTTCTTCCTTAAGTGAACTTGCATTGGCGGCTAGTACCAGAACGGCTTTTATTTTCATTTTCTTTTTTGGTCTTCTAATTACTTTGGCTATCTGTAAAAGAATAGTGGGATCAATTTTTCATGGTCTGTCTTCAGTGCTGAGCTTGTCTTGTGTTTTACCATCTGTCACCTTAGCTTTAAGTAAATAAATGGACATGAACTTGCTAATATTGTATTGTGCAGGAGATCATGTTAAGGCCAAACCATTTTGAAATATTTCAATTGCCTTTATTAGGGATCTTCAGGCTTTCAAAATGTGATCATTATCCTTTGTCCATCTTGCTTTCAGAAAATGTAGTAACCTCCAATTATTGTGTGGTAAAGAGTCAGATTTGCAATATCATGTTCTGATTATTGGGCCATCATCTTTCACAACAGATGAAAGGTTATTGGCTTCTAATAAATGCTAGTTAAGCTAATTTTACATTTACAAGTTGACTAGCTCTGCTCACCTTATAAAATTAAATCAATGATTCTGTTTAAATGAAAAAAATTGCATCAGTTAGATTTGGGCTTTATTCAAGAGTTTTATTTTTTCTTGTTCAGATTTATTTTGTGAATTCCGTATTTGAAAAATTATGACTTTAATTTATGCTAAGTTTGTATCATTGTAACTTTAACATGCCCTTCAGTATCCTTGATGATTTATATTATGTGCCAAGTCTTTATCTGTAGGCAAGAAATAATACCTTTTTTAAAATTTAAATTTATTGTTTTATCATAGAAAACAAAATTCAAAACAGTAAAACAAAGAATGAATACCTTTTTCAATTACAGTCTACACTGCCCAAATTATGCAAAATGATTTTAGTGTTTTAAAATGAAGGTAAACTTTTAAAATGTATTACAGGTATAAATCTCTGGAGATTTTGGGGTGTTCTTTTCTTCCCCCAGGCTCCTATAGTTACCATCCCACAGATGCTGCCTTGTCTGAACACTAACTTTCAAGCATCTGGGGTAGAATCTTTAACCACTAATTAAGCAGCATTTTGTTATCATGTAGAAGTATGTGGCTTTTATGTTGCCTTTTTGTTACATTCAATTTGGAGTATTGTACTGAAAAATATGTTTTTCTGAACATATGACTGCTCTGCCTCCTCCAGTTGTTTCTTATTTCTGTTAAAAATTATAGGAACACAAAGACCTAATGCAGACAGGACATTAGCAGTTGATGAAGGGTTGGTCAGTTGGTTGGTTAAGAGATAATGAGTGTTGATTACAAGTAATATTTAATAAAAGGAATAGTCTAAAAGCCCTAAATTTATTAACAATCTGGCTGCATTCCCATATTTTGCATGATCTTAGCTGTATCTGCAAAGCAGAAATATATGCCAGTTTTAATTACTGACTGATTGCTGATCCCTCTCTTCAGCATTTCATAAGAGTCTGTATCCTTGCTCAAGTAACTATGGCTATATTTGTTATTTTAGGAGCTCTTGATATTTAGACTGAGCATGGGTACAAAACTAAATGCTATCTTTCATATAGATTTATAAAAATCACAAAAGGTTCATACTATTTGTTACTTGTATGTGGGCAGTCCGGAACAAAAGACTTGCGCTTGGCTGATAAATATTTTCTGCCATTCATTTAGAAAACAATGCTAATTTTCTACAGAAAAGCAGCAAAAATTATTTGGAAAGCTAAACCAACATCTGCTACTATATAGGACAGAATTATGCCTTTTCCATATGATTTAAGGTGTCAGATTCCTATTCCCAAATTAGGGACAGATACCTTTACACAAAATAGCAAATTAATCCTTTCACACGTTCTTATAGGATTTCTTTCCTTAAGAAATGTGCTTGCAATTCTGTGCATGGCTATTTGGAAGTTCCCTCTTTGGGTTTCATAGGATTCCAGGTAAATATGTATAGGATTGCTTTTATTCATATTCAAATTGGTGTAATGTTAAAAGATTCCTAGTTCTTTATCCAGACATATATAGGTCATCAGTACCAACATATTCTTTGCACAAATTTAGAACATGAAAAGAAAGATGGGAAAAGAAGACATTTTCTATTTAACTTCTCATACTTAGGAACTTGCCATTTAAAATCAGAGAACTAATATTTTGATAAATTGCAACCAGTCAGAAAGCAGTAACAGATCTTACTATGTTAATGTAAATGTATACTTTGGAAATTGGAATGTATAGTTCCATAATTGTCTATTATTTTGTGGTCTTCGTCTATAGATAGGATTTCCAAGGTGGCATAAACTATTCACTGTTTCCATAGAAAGAACACCAACCTACTTTATTAGTTTTGGTTTATAGTCAAAAAATTTGTTAGATTTGTTATACATTTTTTTTGTATTCATACATCTTTTATCTTTTCTTAAAGGGAAGGAAATGAACCAGGAGATGCCATGAAAATTACATACAGTGAATTGCTGAGCAAAGTCTGCCAGTTTGCCAATGTTCTTCGGGAGCAAGGTATCTAATGCTATAGGAATAGAGTAATAGTCACTTGCTGTCCCCAACTATGAATTGATGGTTTTCTTCCCAAGCTATGCAGAGAGGACACAACCTTTAAACAGCTATCATGATTTTTCTTTATATTTATATCTTTTCCATAAATCAGAAAACAGTTAAAATATAAAAATAAATTAAAGCAATATCATTAAAAAAAGCATCAGAGGGAAGAAAAACAAATCAAGTCCATTAATCCAATGTTCTAACAAGGATGACTTGAGAGAAATGATAAATCTTCAGTGCAACCAAAGATATAGACACCTCTCTGGTTTTGGTGGGTTAGGAAGATTTCAGAGTACAGGTACCATCACAGAAAATGATTGCCTGTGAAAAAATGCATGAGGACAGCTTTGGCATAAAAATCTAATCCTTTCCTGATAATCTTAGTGAATGAAGAAGTGAAGACTATCTCTTAGGTACCTTGAACCCACGTTCTTGTCCACATTTTCAGGCCTGGAAAACTGAGAATTACTCCTTGAATTGTATCCTCAAAATACCTCACAAATTTGTCACAGCAGGTCTCCAAGGGTTTTAAGGTAAAAATTTCAAGAGCAGATGGTAGTATTGTAAGTTCTTAACTGTCTTAAAAACTGTGCTACTTGCAGATACAATGGACACTACAAAATAGCAGATCACCTTTATAAGTTTTTCTGCAGAGTCAGCAGTTTGTGAACTAATGTGTATTGTGTCAGCATGTAGTGGACTTACACCATTTGTACTCTATTAATCTCCTAATGGGTTTCATCATCCAGAACTCTCCATAAAGCCAGGAAGAAAGCCTGATTTCACAATGGTGATTAGGAGATTTAGGTATAATCATGCCAGTGGCCTGTTTAGCTTCTTTCCATAGGGGAGTTTTGAGTGGATCAATGGTGATCCAATCTAGTGCATTTTTCTAGCTCATTTGAAGAGCTTATTATATTCTATATGTTTCAGGAGAGAATTATTCTTTTTAGGTCCTTCACATGTTCCAGAGAGGGATAATGATAAAAGTTCACCAAGTGATAGCTTGACCAGTAGAGCAAAGTGATCCCAGTATCTAGGCTGTCATCATTCTCATGTTGCAAAGCAAAAATTAAATTGAGAGTATCCTATGACCTAAGTTGTTATCTGTAATTGAAGAGAGAACAACTATTTTTATGGAGGCTATGAAATTCCTTACTAGAGTGACATCAGTCTCAATGTTGAAGTACCAAGATCATAGTTCAGGAGTTTTACAGTACCATTCAGAGGCCATCTCAGTGTTTGAGAACTCCAGGATAGCTGTGAGTGATATATCAAACAGCATTTTCATCTGTCTTATTAATTTAACCCCAGTAAAAAACCTTATACTCTGCTCTAGTTTGGAGAGAAGTTGGGTTAATATTGCAGTGAAAAAGCTGGCTCCATTGGGGACAGATTAGGGTAAAATCTGCGTCATCCAGTTCGTCTACCATGGTCTAAATATTCAGCAGGGGATTAGATTAGATGTCTCCTGAGATTCATTGCAACTCCATTATTCTACATGTTAGGTCAGTTCTTTCATCCACAATGAAATTATTAAGTGTGACTTTGTTGTGCACTTGAAATTAGCATATCATCTGGGAAGAAAAATAAGAAGCTATGCCACCAGGTTCCTGATCATGTGAGAATAGACCAAAGGAGGTTATGTCCCACAGTTGTCTATGTTGTCTGACCATTAAATGTTATCTTCTAATCCTTCCCATCTACAACTGATGATCATCTGAATTTGAATTGTATTTAACTTAAACTTTAGAGGGTGATTTTGTGGATATACTGGAATGTTCCTATGCTAACAATCGATATCTTAATTTTTATTATGATGATTAGCCTTATTTTAATGGTTTTACAGCCATAATTAAGACTATAATTTTTATAACCATCAGTAGCTCTTTAGTAACCAGATTTGGGCTCTGTTTCTGGTATATTGTTAAGCTACAGAAAGTTTAGTATTAACTTCAACTTTGCCACCTTGTCCCAATTCCTTTTAGTCCACGTTTGAAACAGGATTAAAACTTCTTTTGAATTCAGTCAGATAAGATTTTTACATCTTTGCGAGATACATTGGTTGAAAGGAAAGGGTATACTTTTTAAAATGAAGATGGCTAAGCATACCCTATTCCATATGCATATTTTAGTTTACTTTTATTCAGTCATTATTTAAAGACAATAAGGTTATAGCAGGCCTATTGATCTTAATGGAAAGTTCCACTCCTGAGATCAGGTGGTTCCCTGTATGCTCTTAATAAATTTATGAACAATGAACAATTTCCTGTATTTGTTGAGACTCTCCATTCCTGGTATTTAGCTTGAAACATTTAAGAACCAGGAGTGTAATTTTGACAGCAGTGTTTTGTATTTTTGTACACATTTTATAAATCAGAGTGTCTTCCTGTTCTGAGATATGCTAAATACATGTTGATAACTTTCAACCCTAAATGAAGCCTAAAATTTGTCAAGCAGTACATTCCTAACCAATTACACAAAAGTACTCCTTAATAATAGAATAGAAATATACTGATGAATAAGGCAGTATGCATGAAGCCAGTAACTGTGTTTGAAATCATTACTGTCACCTGTTGTCTGCTTGATATCTGGCACAGAGCTAGCAAATATATGAAGATGTTTGTAGCCCAATTATTCTTCAAAATGCAGGTGATTACAGGTAATCCCTGAGTTACGAGCATTCACTTAACGTTTGTTCGTAGTTACGTGACCAGTGCCCCTTAGTGTTTATGAGCAAAACCCAAATTACCAATATTGGAGCACCATGGCAATCATTCGCCCTTAAGAACAATCACAGAAGCTCTGCAATATTCCCCCCATTTCCCCCCCACTCCCCACAACTGTTTCCCCCTTCATTCCTGTTGCGCCAGATTCACCTTGCAAAATCTGTCTCATCTTTGCCATGGTTTCTTTCCCTTTGAGGGAGAGGAGAGACGGCTTGGAAATGCTTTTTGCACCAACAATGGAAGCTCCTGGGTGCTGTAATATCGTGTGAGTTCAAACACAAATTTGCTGCAAAATAGATCATGGCCCCCAGAAGCTTCCATTCTGAGGGGGGGGGTAGTATTTGCTTCATTTGCATGCCTATGGGGCAAAGTGTGAATTGAAGTTAGCCAGGCGCAGGAACCAATGCCGTCTGTGGCACGGGTGCATTGCTCGCTCACATGTGCCAGCCTTGGTTTGAGGGCAGGAACAAAGCTTTCAACTGAGCAGGGAGGCATCATGGGGCGAGTCCCCTTGCACCGGCATCCAAGGTGCTGGCCACAATCTCCCCTCCCCAGCCAGCCAGCCACCCTGCCCAACCTACTCTTTGCCTGACCGGCTGGTGGCACAAATCCTAACTGCTCTTCCCCTTGTTCTCCTCCCCACTCAAGTGGCAGCAGCAGCATCAATTTCTCTGCTCCGTCAAAGGAAGAAAGCAGAGGATTGCTCTCAAGAAGATGCGGGTGCGCTGCTCGACTCATGTGCACCAGCCTTATTGAGAGCAATCCCGCTCTGCGCTTCTGCTTCTTTCCACTTGGACAGAGTGGAGAAACTCAAGCTGCTGCCACTCAAACACTTTTTATCCAGACACAGACCTGAGAGAGATTGGAAGATCCATGTGCTTGCCAGTGGGGCGCTTCAGAATTGGAAAGGAATGCTTCATGTGACTGCTGGAAACTCCGTGTGACTCAGGTCTTCATTTGGATAAAAAGTGTTTGAGCACCTATGGGGCTATTCAAAATGCAGGGATTTGCTGCATTTTGAAGCTCCGTGTGACTGAAACTCTGTGTGACTTAAGCTCTGTGTGCACGGGCTTGAGAAAAGTCTTTTCCCGGCAAAAACGGAGCCACAAAACGAGGTGTGCTCCCTCCGGGGGCTCCGTTGTCACCAGGAAAGGGCTTGAGAAAAGGCCTGCCAGTGGGGCACTTCAGAAATGGAAAGGAACGCTCCATTCCTCCCCCACTGGCAGGAAAACGGACCTTCCAATCTCTCTCAGGTCTCCATTTGATAAAAAGTGTTTGAGTGCCTACGGGTATTCAAAATGCATTTCTTACACATTTATCCATAAATATGATCCTTGTCCTAAATCAGGGGTAGTCAACCTTGGCTCTTTTATGACTCGTGGACTTCAACTCCCAGAATTCCTGAGCCAGCTAAGCTTAGCTGGCTCAGGAATTCTGGGAGTTGAAGTCCATGAGTCATAAAAGAGCCAAGGTTGATTACTCCTGTCCTAAATAGTAAGATTAGGGTTAATCATTGACTAAGCATTATTCCCACATTAATCTATCTGCATCATACATAGGTTCTGCTGCATTCTAACTCCATACCTGCACAAAACATTCCATAACTCAAATATTTCCTTTATCATGCACTTTCTTTAAATCAATATACATACAATAAACTGCCTCATTTATTTCTTAGTGACATGTTGAAAAGCAAAATCTAATCTATAAACCCCTGGCTTAGTATAAAGCCACAATCTCTTCCTGAGTTTCACTCATATCACCTTTCAGGCAGAATTCTGCCAACAGGCATGCTTAACAAATAAATCCTCCTGTGCATTTACATTAATTGTTGCTACATTTCTCTTTTTATAAGGCAATAATAACAGAATGCTACACATCCTCTCCATGACTGATTTTCTTTATTATCATCTGGGAGGAGGCTTCGTGTATCCAAAGCAGAACAACTAGATTCTATAATAACTTTGTACCTTATGGGATCAACCTAGCTAATTCTCAAGACTTTTTTTTTCTATGTGTTCAAAATGGACTGTGATTAATATTATATATACATATATATATATATATATATATATATATATATATATATATATATATATACACACACACATATATACATATATACATATATGTGTGTGTGTGTACGTGTATGGATACATAAATACATACATATATATATATATATATATATATATATATATATATATATATATTCATTCTTTTTGAGCAGGCATCAGAATTTCATTTTTAATGAATGCTCAATAAGTTCATTTTATTTTCAGTATTATGATGATGTTTGCATGGCTGACTGAAAAAATTATTTTAGTTGACTGATCTGAGATTTTTTTTTTTTTACAGGCGTGAAGAAAGGAGACAGAGTTTCCATCTACATGCCAATGATAATTGAGTTGGTGGTCGCTATGCTAGCTTGTGCCAGAATTGGAGCACTTCATTCCATTGTGGTAGGAATATGTATTCAACAAAAATATTTATTGGATTATATCCTTGAAGGTTATGGGTTACTATGGGAACGACCTGCCTCCAGAGGCTGTGAATGCTCCAACACTGGAAGTTTTTAAGAAGAGACTGGACAGTCATTTGTCTGAAATGGTATAGGGTTTCCTGCCTGAGCAGGGGGTTGGACTAGATGAACCCCAAGATCCCTTCCAACTTTATTACTATTACTAATTGAATTTCGGGCTATTGTGTGCGTTATGAAAATCAAAATGAACAACAGATGATACAATACGTTCTAAATCCATGCTGCCAATTAATGGTTGTCTGCATTTTGCAGATCAGGTACTGTACAATAACACCTAATTGAAATGAACTATGACATAGGTAGTAATTTAAACTAAGATAGCTTGTGATTTTGAGTTACTTTCTGGAGTGGGTATGTTACTATGCCCTTTTTGACTAAGCAGATGCTGATTAATCACCTTGTTTTCTAAAGAGGACCTCAGGCTTAAATTTAATTTTAAAAAATCTCGCTAAATTTGTAAGCAGCCTTTTTAGGAAAATAATTTCACATTGACCTGTGTAAAGGTCAATTTGTGAAGGACCTTGGCTGTGTAAAGGACCTTTGCTGTAATTCTCCTTGGCTTTCAGAAGATTCTGGAAAAAATTCCAAAGTGCTTATTCAATGAAGTGAGGGATCAGGTTTGCTCTGATTCATTGTCTCTCCCAAATATCAGGGACAGACAATGAATCAGGCTCTCTCTCCCATCTGGATTTTTTTTTTTTTTAAAAAAAACCAAAACATTGCATTAAATAATTCAACAGCAATTGCAAAGCATCAGTCCATAGCACATTATTTATTTGCTGTGTGCTCAATAGTGTGTTTATACATTAGGAAAAGAGCAGAGGTTTTGATCAAGCTAGACTTCAATGAAACATGTATACAATTTGTAATTATAATTGTCTGCAATGCATTTCTCACTGATTGTAACAAAGATTTTCTTCTAAGGAGTTCTGCTGGATTGTGAAACAGTTTTCAATCATCTATTAACTAATTAGCTAAAACATTTATTTCTGCATTATTCCTACTTGTAGTCAGAAATCCTATTCAACATAGTCCAAATTGGCATCGTTGTGGTTATTGCTGTTCAGTAGTTATATTTGTGATTATGATTTTAGTTTGCAGGTTTTTCAGCAGAATCTCTTAGTGAGAGGATTCTAGATTCCAACTGCTCGCTTCTCATAACTGCAGGTAAATAGCTTTTTGATAACCTGTAGATAATTTGTATATAATCAGCATAACCTAATTGGATTTATAATTAATGATAACTTTATACTCTTCATCTTTGAAATAAAGGAAAGACCTATTTCCTGGTTAAAACACGCAGGAATATGTTTGATCAATCTATTGTCAATATAGCATAGTATCCTGGTAAAATAGAATTATAACCGTTTATAACTTTTGTTGCTATGGTCTAATGTCCAAAGTATTTTTAAAAATAGTTAATCAATTTTCTTAGCTGTCATAAAGCAGAAAAATGCTCTGGTAAAAAAAAGCAGGCCTTACATTTGAAAAGCCATGGATTGCTCAATTATTGCTTTTTATTAGATGATCCTTTCCTAATAAAATAAATGATTTCAGATTTGTAAGAACTACTCTCATTTAACTTTTAGAACCATTATGTTTTATGAATGAAGGCAAATATACCTGTCCCAGGATAATGTTGCAAGATCCAATTTGAGTCAGTCACCAGGACCAGAGGTTTAGTCTTCCAAGCTTTTGGACTCATGTTGGAGCCCATCCTCAGGGAACTTCTCTCTTTCCAGAATGTGTGCACTGGGCTGTCCTATACCAGTGATGGCGAACCTTTTAGAGACCTAGTGCCCAAACTGCAACCCAAAACTCACTTATTTATCACCGGGTGCTGGGTGAGCATGGCCACAGTGGTCATGGAAGACTGGCTGGGCAGGGGCCAGGGCGGCAGGGGCCAATCCCTCACCATCTCTGGGGCATGGCACGCATGCCCACAGAGAGGGCTCTGGGTGCCGCCTATGGCACGCGTGCCATAGGTTCGCCACCACTGTCCTATACAGTAGTATTTATGTGGTGCCTGGTTGTTGTGGCTTTTATGTGGTGACTTGTGTGTGGCTTTTAGTTGTTAATTGAGGTGTTGATGGTTGGCTATTAAGTCCTTGGTGGTTGTTTTCTTGTGCTACAACACAACACCCCAATTAACTAAAAGCCACACACAAGCAGGCACCACATAAAATACTATGCATAGAACACCCCATGCACATATTCTGGAGAGAGAGAGGTTCCCTGAGGATGGGCTCCGACATGAGTCCAAAAGCTTGGAAGACTAAACCTCTGGTCCTGGTGATCCACTCAGAATGGATCCTGCAACTTTATGTTTTAATTTGTAACAAAATACATTCAGCTATTCAAGTTGTTCAAGTTATTCAAGAGGTTTTTAAGAAGAGACTGGACAGCCACTTGTCTGGAAGGGTATAGGGCAGTGTTTCTCAACCTTGACAATTTTAAGGCATGTGGACTTCAACTCCCAGAATTCCACAGCCAGCAATGCTGGCTGTGGAATTCTGGGGGTTGAAGTCCACATGCCTTAAAATTGTCAAGGTTGAGAAACATGGTATAGGGTTTCCTGCTTGAGGAGGGGGTTGGATTAGAAGACCTCTAAGACCCTTTCCAACTTTGTTATTCTGTTAATTTGGTCATGAAATAACAAGGAAGCCATTACCAGAACTAAGGTATGACAAAGCTCATCCAGTTTGTTCTGATTGTTCCCTAATCTAACTCTAACCCAGACCCTTTCAAGGTCTCTGAATTTTGAAGAAACTGCTGCTGTTACTGCGTTGGCCTTTCCCTTAAATCCATTGTTCTCTGCTTCTTTTACTTTAAACTATTCTGTCCCTCCTTTATGACGGATAACCTTCAAGGGCCTGGCCTGATGAGCCACTTTAATGATTTACTTGTTGTTTTAGATGCCTTTTATAGAGGTGATAAGCTGATTAACCTGAAGCAGATAGCTGATGAAGCCTTGCAGAAGTGTAAAGCTAAGTAAGTAAGTTCAAAGACTCTTTTTAATGAAGGGATTTTGTGATATATTTGTTTCCTTATGAATAGAAAAGCATGTATTGTAGCTTTAAAAATACCCTAGCATTCCAGACAGAAGATCAAGGAAGCAAGAATTGCACAAATTTCAGTAGGATAGTTTTTATGTTAGTCTTGGGTAAATGCAGAAACTTGAAAACTTCTAAAGGAATTTCCAACCTCATTTATTGTGAGTTCATTAAGGGAGTCTTTTGGAATGATTTGAATGCTTCTTCCAGTTTTCTTGGAATCTGAGTTGAATTGGCATTTGTAATAAGCTGCTTATTTTCCCTTCAATTACCTTCTAGCCTCTCCATAATTTCTTACATCATGTGTGAGGAAATATATAGGTATATGTGTGTGTGTGTGTGTGTAAAAATGTATTCCCAAAGTAATAGTTTGAAATGACAATAAAAGTCAAATGATCTTGTCATGTTATGGGTTGACTTCATAGGGTAGCCCTCAAAGGCAATTTGGAAGCTGTGAACCATAAAGTTTCTTTAAATATTACTGTTTATTATTATCCACATAAACTATCCTACTTGTTTAATTTAGCTTGTTTACTGAACTAAAATATCAGGATCATTCAAGATTTTCTTCAAGTGATTCATGTTCATGGATTCATCTTTCTTCTACTTTAGGAGTAACTCTCTGGAAAGATGCATTGTGGTTAAGCATCTAGGAAGAGATGAACTAGTTCAAGATGGGTCAAACAGCAAGTCTCCACCTTTGAAAAGAATCTGTCAGAGTGTGCAAGTGAGTTACTGTGTAAACGCAGTGGATCTGTGAAGCTTGAGCAGGCATTTTTGTTATAGAGAAAGAGAAATATCTTGCATATCCTAACTATCATGCTAAAGGGAATTCAGATTTTTGCCCTCAAGGTTGTGCTTCATTTCTGAAGTGCCCCACTGGCAATTAAGGAGCAATTCAATATTGCAGGGAGCTGAGATGGGGAGATAATCTTTCTGTTGCCAGTGGGATATCTTTCTGATAATGAATGATGTCGATGCTGTTATTGATCACAGAAGACAATATTTGTCTTTTCAATTTTATATAATCTTTTCATGGTAAGTACATGTGGTCTGTAACATACAACAAAAATGGTTAATGTAAGTTAAAGTTACATTTTTCCCCCCTTCTCTTCTCTTCTGTAGAAGTTCTGGAACTCTTTAAAATTCTGGAACTCTTTAAAATTAATTTATCACCATAGCATATATAGAAAACCATGTTTACTAAAGATCTAAAAATATGTTACATTTATTTCCTGGTTTTTTTGAAAACAGCAAGAATTCATTAACATATTTGTATGATAAAATTAAGTCTGTGAATGTTCTCTCAGTGTTCTTTAGATCTAGACTGGGAGACAGGCTATCTTCATCAACACACTTAGGCTTGCAGATGGCAAGCTGCAATTACTAGTCTATGTATTTTATTCCCTTTAGGATATTTCCCTTTTTAATCAAGGAAAGTCATTTTTCCAAGTTTAAGGGAAAAAGTACAATGGTATATGAATGGTAATTCAGAATCTCTTACGTTTTTGTTTGCACAGAGTTTCTGCTGCTAGTGGAAATAAGACATATTTTAAAATCAGCATCCAACAATCCATTAAACCAAGTATTCTCCAATCTAGTTCAACTGCAACTCCTAAAATTGCCATGCTGGCTGGGAACTCTGGGGTTAAAATTCCACCATATCTGTCAAATATATTAGTTAGTATAACCATTGACACAGTAATTGTTTATTTTGTCTTTTTGATATCTTTGAGGACTGACCACTGCTTGCTCTCAAACATATATCATATAAATATATTCTATGTCCTCCTATAGACTAATCAATTTATCTGTCTATTATCGTTACTGATCTTGTGCTGCCTTATTAATAAATAGTAACTGGTTGCTCCTGTCACATCTCCAAACTAGTAAAGGAGTTCTGTGTTTCTTGGAAAGTTTATGAATTTAAAGCTACTTTCTCTGTTGGGGACATTTCTTCTCCAATTAAATAACCATAATCTTTTACAATATTCATATAAGCCAAGCAACCCTCGTCTTGCAATTAATATCTTATTTTAAACATGCAATTATGAACTTTTATATTTCAGTCACAGTTTAATGAGAAGTTTTGTTGTTGACTTTTACCTAGTTCTCACTAAGCTAATAAGTATTTGGGTTGTACTGTTTAACAATTCATTAGTGATGGAGGAGATCACAAAACTGAATATTCCTCAAACCTAAATGTTGATGTGGTAAAGAGGACTGTGTAGCTTTCTTCTTAATGTATTGGTTTCATAAATGCAGAAATGGAAGATGCCTTCTATTATGTGAGCCCCTACTTCCAGACTGAAGTATGTTGGGTAGATATGGGTGTACCATCTCACTGAGCTTTTGCTGTTCATCAAATATAGACCCTATTTTTAGCACATGACAAGTCTCGTATCCATTAATAGCAGCACTATACCAAGTGCTTGTCATTGGCTTCCATAACACTTAGAATACAGAAGCATGAATATTTTACATGGACTTGTTACCAGAAGAGATCAGGATTGGCAGCCAAGTATGCATTTATTGACCATGCCAAACTAGTACCAATTTTAAAAAGGTCAGAACAGTAGAAACATAAGAAACAGAAAGAGAAAAGGCATCCCTGAGTGTTGATTGTAAATTCTGATAGACACTATTGGTAGATATGTACGTCTGCTATATTAGGGTCTTCAGATAAGCTGTTGGTCATAGTCCTTTGCCAATATCCTCTTTCTTATTGGGCAAAAAGTTATGAGAAACATTGTCTGGTGCATCAGGAGAATACAGGAAAAGGCTGGGACGCATTGTATATCCAATAGATAAAGCCTCTGCTGTTCTGTAGCTATTTGAACTCTAGTAAAATAGATTGTTGCATCAGTTCCGATGATAAAGCAAATGAAGAAATGTGAACTAGATTCAGATGATTACTACCTATTTCCTCAAGTGGTTCTGGTAAGAAGGAAGCTTAACTACAATTGCAGAATAGCTTTCTAGTTTTGGTATACATCAAAGAAAATACATCAAGATTCTAAAGTGATTATATTGTAAAACCCTACTGATTAGTATCACTTTATAATGCCTTGGTAAGATCACACTTTGAATACTACATCCAGTTTTGGTCTCCATGATATAAAAAAGAAGTTGAGACTCGAGAAAGAGTGCAGAAAAGAGCAACAAAGATATTTAGGAGACTGGAGGCTAAAACATATGAAGAATGGCTACAAGAATTGGGTATGTCTAGTCTAGTGAAAAGAAGGGTTGGTACTCTATTAGCACCACTCTTTCCCTTAGAATGACAAACTTTTCTTATTGTATTTATTACAACATTGAGGTTCATCTAATTGATTAGGTAGGAAATAGTGGAATATGGGTATGTGTTTGCCTGTCAAAGGAATTTCCTTTCACTTCTCAGACTAATCTTAGTATCTTTTATACATGGCAATTCATAAAAAGTAATCCCTGCTGCATTAGTTTATGAAAAACTAATATCAACTACTGAATAATATTTTTTTCCCAAGTTTAATGCATGCTGATGATATAACTATGTAGTTTTCTTAGCAAAAAAGATCGAAGTGGTTTGCCATTACTTAATCCAGGATTCATTTTACTTTCTTGTCCAAGCCCACAACTCTGAGATTTCTTGGTGGTCTCCTATCCAAGTGACAACTAGCTTACATTCTGGTTTAGTCTTTCAAGATTAGCCAGGGTAGAATTGACCAAAATGGCAAAAACTTCAACTCCTCCATCATTCTTCATCAAGAAGGTGTAACAAAAATCAGGAGATGGAAAAGAAATAAGACACATACACCCCAGCACTGTTAGCCAGGAAATATGCATGTCAAAATCAAACATTTCTGTTTTCCAAACTTTATAACTTTATTTCACATATTTAACAAAAAAAAAAAAGAGAAGGGGAGAGAAAGCTTTATTGTTACTGTCAACCAATTGGAAAATCAGAAATCCTTGCAGATCCATTTCAGGATCCCCAGGAATCTATCAATCTCCTGGCCTGTTCCTGCTTTAGAATAAGAGAATTTATCTGGTTTGGATTTAATCAAGAGCCACCAAACTATGGCAAAGTGATTGCCTTGATATAACAACACATTCATTGGCTGTTTGGCTTTGTTTGGAGAAAGGAATGGTGGAAAGTTTAATAATTTAATTCACGGAGCCTCTAATATACACCTTAAATAAATAGGAATAATACTTCATGGATCTTTACACTCTTTGTCAATTAGCAGTTTTGCTCTAATGTAGGAATTGCCATTTAGGAATGGATGGGCTTTATACAAAATACAAGCTCTGGATTAGAGGGGCCAACCAGTCACATGGAAAAGCCCTGCTTCCTGTGGGGGGGGGGGAGGGAAATGATTTTTGAAATGAAATTGGCTAAGCTGATATTGATAGGTTATCAGATCCCTTGTGTACAATTTTTCCTTCGTGTTCTTTTTTTTTTTTTAAAAGCACTTTATTCCACGGTATTCAGCTTTCTAATTATACAACCCATCTTTGCTATCATGGCATTTACAGTTGATAAGTGCCCAAGTTCAGTCTGACTGCTTCTCAAACATTGTATCTTCTCTGTGAATTTTTGGCAGGAAAAAAAGACTGAGAGCTCAAAGAAAGTCCAGCCAAAGGTATTTACTGTGTGTAGCAGAAGTTTTTTCATGGCGTCCTTCTGCTCTGCTTACCACGTCCAGCACAGCTCTTCTCTTGTCTGCTCTTTTGCTCTCTCACTGCAATGTCTGGCCTTTTAACCTCATTCCAGCACCTGCATGGTTGTTGGGGGCATCACTCTCACAACGGGTTGAAGGGAACTTCAGCCACATTTCAATAGCCTGGGATTAGGGGGTAGCGAAACTAACTGCTTTGTGGTGCTATCAATTTTAGCAATTTTTATTTTTTCTTAAAGTTTAAATGGGATTTACTTTTGTATTAAGACCATAAGAGAATCTGTATCCTTAAAGGTTGAATGATTCCTTGGAAATAAGCTCAGTTGCAACTGCCAGCTCATATTCTGGATTTAATTATACTGAGATTGTGCAGAATGGTTTAAATCAGAGTACCTCCATTCTGATAGATGACTCGTTTTTGCTTTCACAAACAACATACAAACTGCATATTCTTGTTTGAAAGAGTTTGAACATTGAGCTTGTAATTCTTGATTGCATTATTTTTCATCACTGACTGGCAAAACTTAATTGAAGTACTAGTATTGATAAGTTGCGTGTAAGATCATTTCACATTTGTTATCAGTTGTGAAAAATTGTTATTTTCTAAAGAAGAATTCTAGAAAACTAGCTCTGTGTCTGAATATTGGAAAGAGTATTGCTAATTGAATTTTATAATTACAACGCTCTGTGATATCAATGATAGTAAGTGAAGCAACTGGTTGATTACAAACAGATAACAGGCATAATTTACTACTGTATTACAGCCTAGAGTTTATAGACTACAGTCAAGTTGCATTAACTGTACGTCTGAAGAAAGTTGCTCTGAAACAGCCTTTAACCAAATTCCATGAAATCTTCTATTTTTAATTATGTGGCCTGTAAAATATTTTTTAGAATATTTTCATTTTCTGTGTAATCATTTTCAACAAAAGCATCTGGGTAGTTATAAAGTGGAATGAGGTGGAGAGGGTGATAAAAATGAGAAGGGAAAGCTTTGAAGAAATTCAACATGTTTGGAGAAGTTGATTATGGTATTCAGAAGAGAAGAGTAAGATGCAACATGATAGTCATATTCATTGATGGAGGAAGAGAGGGAATCGTAAATTTGGAAAACATAGAGAAGCTTTCTAATAATGCATACTGTGGAAACCAATCTTTATTTGGTGTTAAAAAAGATTGGATGTTTACCTGATGGGCTTTTCTACAGATAGATTTCTTGCATTAGGAGTTTAGATGAGCCAGATTATTTTTGAAATATTTTCCAATGGTGACTAGATTCTCACGTTCCACTAAGCCACACTTAGATTGACAAGGTTTTGGCAGAGTATATTTTGGGAATTCAACCATTACAGTTTGTAAAGTGTGATTTTAGCAATGTGGTGTGTCATTGTGGCTTGTATAACAAACCGTGGTTAGAGAATACAATGGATTGATGAAATGTATAAAATCAGGCTATGATTATATTCTCAAGAAAGAAAAAGCATTGCCAGTCAGGGGTTGCAAACTTACAGAAGAGGGTGGGAATATCTATGAGGAAGGGATAATGGTGGTGAATACAAAGTTTTCTCATTCTTTGGTATTAGTTAACATCATGATATTGTTATAAAATGATTTGCTTTGGCAAACTACTTTTTTCCAGGAATCCAGAATCTCTATAATGACTTTCTGATCCCAATTTGAAGGTGCTTGTATAAACTGTTTTTTTAAACACGATATAGGAAAGGAATTATTTGGTAAAACGAGATAATTCATAAAGAAATTGTACATAGAGTGAAAAAAACTACATTAGATCTATTTAATTGTTTCTTTTCTATCATAGTAATTTTATTCTTTCTTTCAGTGAATCTTAGGCTGTGTAGAGAAGATGAAATAATCTTGTATAAGGATATTCAGTTTCTGGTAGTACAAATACTGTTGCTTCTTGTATAGATTTTTCATGCCAGTCTTTTTGAATAGCCAAGCTTTGTATTTTTTTTTTAGCAATCTGGATTACAATGTTCAAAGACCATTTTTAAAATTCAGTTGGAACTGGATACATAATCCCGCATTTGTTTCCTTTTGACAAGATTACAATTTACTTTAATATTTTAAACATGCTGCCTTAAGTAAAACCCAGCTGGGTCAAATAAACCAAACAAATCATGTTTGTTTGGATTTTAAAAATTCTTTAGAATTTATAATTAATTGAGATTTAATTAGAATATCTTCAACTTAAATACATCCTCATATATTCAGTTTGATTGGCTGTATTGGTTGCCTTATTATCTGCTGGGGTAATATATACCGTATTCCCCCGTAAATAAGATTGGGTGATATATTAATTTTTGCTCCAAAAATGCATTAGAGCTTATTTTTTGGTTAGATCTTATTTTCAGGGAAATATGGTACTAAATGCGTCCATCTGGCTGATGATCTTAAGTGGGGCTTATTTTTGGAGTGGGGCTTATAGCAATAGCACTTATATACTGCTTCAGAGTGCTTTATAGCCCTCTCTAAGCGGTTTACAGAGTCAGCATATTGCCCCCACTAATCTGGGTTAGGAGCATTCTGAAAAATCATGCTAGGGCTTATTTTCTGGTTAGGTTTTATTTTCAATCATTACAGTAAAGTAAGAAGAGCCTATACATCCTAAAAATTTGAATATCCAGTTGAATTTCATTTGACTTGCTCCTCTATCAGCTTCTACTACTGATGGTTGTTTCTGCTGCTTTTTTGCAGGGGGTGGGGAATTGGATTATTCAGTGTTATCCAGTTTGGGCTGCATGTTAAATCTCTGCAGAGGTCACTGCCTAGAAATAATTCATTCTGGTGAAGGACAAAGCCGTATCTGACAGCCATGCAAAAATAGAACAAATCTTTTGGAAGTTTTTTTTTCTTTTATACCTCCAGATTTACATTTTGAATCAGCAGAAAGACTGTGCTTCCATTTCTGAATTTTTTGAAACTCTGTTCTCAGCTCTGAAAATTACTGGTTTGGTGCTTGTGTCAAATGATAATGAATATGTCTTATCATGACTCGTTGCCAAACAGTGACAGTTTGCTTAGCTTTGTACTGTCTGTTGCCTGAGTGTCTCCATCCAAATCATTAGCTAATTGATATTATAATACTCAGTGTTATGTTTAGGATCCAAAAAGCTAATGTTATTAAAAACATTTTACAGATTTTTTTAAAAAATACACGAACTTCACACAGAATTATGTTGGGCATTTCTTTTGTAATTAAAGATAGCATTTATTTCTTATTATACATAAATTTAAAAAGCTAACAACATGGGGGAGTTTTGCTGATAAAATAAATGCTTCCTTCAAAGACATTACCTTTTGAGATACTGCCAGCCATTGTCATAAGGGGGAATAGACCTATCAAAGTTAAATAATTTATATGACTATAGGGCAGTGGTAGTGAACCTATGGCACGGGTGCCAGAGGCGGCACTCAGAGCCCTCTCTGTGGGCACGCATGCCGTCGCCCCAGTCCTAGGCCTTCAGCTGGGTTTTATAAAACCTTTTTGCTTTAGGCCTCCGCTGCCATCTGCAAAAAAAAAAAAAAAAGGTTCAATCAATCCGTCAATTTCAACTTCTCATGGGAAAAAAAGATCTTGCAAAGTTGGAATTGATTGATTGAACTTTTTAGTCCCATCCAGTCTGCCGTTACCACCCCAGCCATGCCCACCCAATTGGCCATGCCCACCCAATGGGCCACATCCACCCAGCACTCAACGATGCATAAGTGGGTTTTGGGTTGCAGTTTGAGCACTCAGTCTCTAAAAGGTTCGCCATCACTGCTATAGGGATTACAGTGAAAATTACTAGAGAGATTTAATTTACATGTCTGAATTGCATAGAAAAAACCAAAGCATTTGTTGATTAGTGTAATTTGCTAGAGCTACTAATAAACCTGCTGCATGGGTTGTCAATTTTCTGTGGGTCAACTTTTAATGGCTGTTCTTGGAATGATTGTAATTTGAATGTTGGACTAGGACTATGTTGCAAATCCAGAAGTGCTCTTGTGTGTTATTTTTTCACAAATGTGGAAGGCATTATGAAAGTTGTACTTCAACACATCTGGAGAGAGCTGACTTCCAAAGGGTTGCCCATATCCATGCAAAATGATGTCTTTTAGTTTCAGTATGTTCTTCTCTCAGTAGAAAGATGGGACATTGTGACATGCTGCTTAGGTTGTTCTGTTTGTTTCAAATATTTATATCTTTTATGTCACAGCTGCCTCCTTGAAACAAAGCAAAATTAATAGACAATCTTTCATTATGTCAAAAACTGACAAAAGTATTCTGCATGCAAAATCCTTTTGACTCTTTTTTAAAATTGTGATGTCATCTGATACCTCCTGTGCTTCACAGGTAAAGATTTTTCTGCCTAAAAGTGCACGTTGCTAGAGAGAGGAGTTAAAATGCATGTTGTGTCAGATTTGCATATCTTCAAAGCATTTTTTAAAGGTTTTCTTGACTACCATAAGGGGAATGCACTATTGGGAGCTTATAGGGATAAAGTAGAAGAAGAGTACTGTAAGATGTACTGTAAAATGATGTAAAGGTTTTAACTGGATAGAAGGGATTGATCAAAATCTGAGGGGTCATTCAAGAGACCAAGATCAAGGTTAAAATCTGCCCTTAAAAAAACTAAAAACCGATTCTACATTTAATATGGAATTGGATACAAACTTAAACATAATTCAAGTGGTCGAAAAGAAAAAAAAAACAAAGAATGAAGCTTGTTATAATGATTATGGTGAAACCAGTTGTGAGTAATATGCCTGAAAATGTTTGGATGCCCACAAGATGACAGGAAAGAATATATATCTGATGCCATTTAGTGGATATCTGTTTTTTTGGTAGTAATCTTTGGCTGTATGATTTTTCTAGTACATCTTAATTCTATTAAGTTCACTGAAGACAAATGACATCCAATGAAGGTTAACATTAATATAATCTTAACAAGTTTTCACTTCGATGCTGATTCTTTAAGCTTAAACAGATTTGTAAGTCAGTCCCATTCTACATGTATACACATTTTAGAAATATTGGCTCACCTCACTGGATTAATGTGATGGGTACGGAGCTTGTTTTTAGACATAGTGACTACTAGAGTAGCATGTCTTTTTCTTTTATCAATATCTTGTGTTCCGATTCCAGTGGTACATTAATATTAGTAATAAAGCTAGCAGTTTTATAAATAATTACTTTCAAGAAAAATAAATGTAGTATTAAAAGGAGTCTCTCAGTAGCTATAGCAAATATGTTGAATTCAAATAGGAAATAAAATTGTCCACAATTTTAAGCAAGTATTATTGTGCCATGAAGCTTTGTAGCAAATAACAAAGGTTAGAAGTGATAAAACAGGACTTTTCAGCTATTATGGAATAATTTTTTGTTCAGCTGCAAGAGTGCATTTGTTTTTTTCCTGGTTAGACTGCATTTAAGTATTATGGCATGTGGTTTTCTTCAGACTCCTTGGGATCCAGAAATTGATCTTTGGTGGCATGACATCATGAAAAATGCTAGCAAGGAGTGTGAGCCTGTCTGGTGTGATGCAGAAGATGAATTGTTTATTCTCTACACCAGTGGATCAACAGGGAAACCGAAGGTATGTTAACATTTTCCTGGACTGGTGTTTAGAGAAATACAGTACTGCTTTTGTCAAATCATACTCTTACTGCTCGGTGCTATGTCTACACTTTGTTTTCAGACTTCATTTGTTTATAGTTCTACTTGAGATAGAGTACTGAATCAATGATAATTATAATAATGTAATCAAAGAATGCCATGTTTTCTGCCCATTCTGTTCCATTAATTTGCAGAGCTCCAAAAACTCTGGAGCTGACACCTTTGAACACAATAGAAGAGAATCTATCACAAGGTTGAACTGTGGGATCTTTAGTGCTTAGTCCTTAAAAGGGAGTGGAGGTTTGCAGATTTCACTCTTTTTTGTAGAACTGATGATGTTACCTAGTTTGGTAATGAAATATCTGCAAGAAAACAACCAAGCTGAGAGAGCACCCCACCTTCAAGAATGGCATATTGAAGATTGGCGCTGGTTTTGTCTTTTTATTATAAAACCTACATAGAATGCTATAATTCTAAATGTACTGTATTGGGGAGGCAAATCATAGCCTAATGAGTCTACTGTGGAATTCTGTGGAGGGTGGCAGAGTACAAATAGAGGCCTGTGTGGGCAATAGGATATAGATACATGCGCTTTTTCAGTAAGAATTAATTGTGAAGTGATTGATAAAACTAAAGGGAACATTTCAGAAAATTTATTTATTTCTTTGGAAATTTTATATAGTAGCTTATCATAAGCAAATAACCCTGGGCAATAATAATACAAAACCAAAATAAAACACAAATATACAGTTAAAAATCATTAAATACAAAAGCCAAGGTGTCTAAGATAAAGCTCAGTATTCCAAATGCATATATATAGGGTACTGCTAACAATCCAGTCCTAACATCTGAAGGAAAAACTAGGTTTTTATAGCTTCACTTCGTATTTTCCTGAAAAATCTGATCATACCTTGTAGACGTGCATTGGAATATGATAAATTCAGCAAGTTAAAACTAATTTTCTGCTGGCTGTTATATCTTAATATATTTTTGCAATGCTGCAATTTCTGGCCAATGAGAATTAATTTATGTTTAAATGTTCCTTTGTATGAATATTTTGTATTCTATATTTCAGGGTGTTGTACACACAATAGCTGGATATATGCTTTTCACGGCTGCTACATTTAAATATGTGTTTGATCATCATCCTGAGGATATTTACTGGTGCACAGCTGATATTGGATGGATAACTGGCCATTCCTATCTCACATATGGACCCTTGGCAAATGGGGCAACCAGTGTCTTAGTAAGTTCTATGATAAAGTCTGACTGTATGGAAACATCAAATCTTAATTATTTTGTAGAGTGAATGGTATCAGTTTGTCTTACAACTTTCTTAACAGAAATGAGTGAGGACGCAGTTAAGATAATTGAAAAAAATAACTCCCTAAATTATATTTTGACTCAAGATCTGATGCTGATTTTAAAAAAAGAATTTTTTCTTGTTTTGACAGGCTTAAAAGAAAGTTTCATGGGGTTTCTTCTCCACTCTATGCTTTAGTGTTGTGGAGGTTTTCCTCTGCTAAGCAATATTTCCTGAACTTTGGGAGCATAATTAGGCTGTAAAATGTGGATCCATGTGCTGAAATTAGCAGTCAACATGGCACATTGTTAATTGCTATCTCTTTTCAGTTTGAAGGGCTCCCTATTTACCCAGATGTTAGCCGTATGTGGAATATCATAGACAAATACAAGGTGACCAAGTTCTACACAGCACCCACTGCCATTCGTCTCCTCATGAAATATGGAGATGAACCTGTCAAGAAGTAAGCATGACTTTAAGGAAAACAATAAGGCTGATTGCCTGTAATTTCCAGGAATGTCCTTTGGAAATACATATGTAGCACTGGTTTAGAGCACTAGAGCAAAGTAGACTATTCCAGTCAAATCCCTAGGCATCTGTGTTTTGGCTACATGTTTATACTTAACTTTTGTTCTGAATGTCAAAGCCAGGGGAAAGGGGAATACATGTGGGTAGAATTGCATTTAGTTGGAGCTCTGGTGACAGCTAGAGAATGCCTGTCTGAAACTCCTTCAAATTAAAAAAAAAAGGTAAATTGAAATGTCATGGGAATATGGAAGAAAATGGGCACGGGGGACTGCAGGTTAGATCCCAGCCTCTCTGGAAATAGGACTGGAAAATATCCAGATTAGGGCCATATGATATTTTTCAGGCCAGTTGCGATGCCTGCATTCATATCAGGGCTGAACTCCAAGGCAGGACAAAGAATCATGTATGATTAAGAAAAAAACTAAATTTAAATATATTTCACCTTTTGTTGCAATAAAAATTATGGTTCAGTTCTAGAGAATCTGGGGGAAAGTAACCTGAGACCTTATCTAGATCAGATTAAATGTTGTGCTAAACATCTTTATTTTTAATTAGCTTTATTGAATGTTGTGGGAGCTGCCTCCTACATAAACTAATTCATGATTTACAAAACCAACACGGTTGTGTCCATGTAACCAAACCTAAGCAGGCTCCATCGTATATTAGCACAGTTTGTGAACTCTGTCTGCTTTTATTGTTCAATCATCTGAGAGGGAATAATATTCAGGATAAATACTGATCAGATCAGATCACTGAAACTGTCCAAATGTTTTGAATTTCAGTTTTTCTCAGCCTCAGGCAGCAAGACATTAGCAAGCTATTATAGGAATTTACAAGACATTGAAATTAAATTGCCTTTGTGAAGGATAGTTAGTGTGTTTTTGCTTTACCTAAGTCCACTTTTGATCAGGCAAAGGCACTGTAGATTTCTGAAAATGTCCTTGTTTATTCAGTTCTGGTAAATGGTTAGTTTTGAAATAAAATTGTAAAACAATTTTTCCTTCTGGAATAATTTTCTTTTTAAAATTCATACCCTATTTATTCAGATACAGCAGGAAATCCCTGAAAGTGCTAGGAACAGTCGGAGAACCCATAAACCCAGAAGCTTGGTTGTGGTTTTATAGAGTAGTTGGTGAAGAACAATGCCCTATAGTGGATACCTTTTGGCAAACGGAAACTGTGAGTTCTTTATATTCAGCTTTCTTATTATCCTGTGAATTACTTGGTTATTTCTGTGATTCCTTGTTCTCCAAGGCCTGGATTTCACACTTACCTGCCAACTCATTACAGCATGTCATAATTTAGGTGCTGTTCCTTTGCTGTATATTTGTACCATGTAATCTCTTCCCAAAGCTATTACAGCTTTTCCTTACCATCAGGGTTTCCAAAATCCTATTAGAATCCCTCAAGATTCCAAATCCTATTAGAACCTGATTTTTTTCTCTTTCTTTCATTACCCACGCTCTTCTTATGCTGTGCTAGTCAAGAACTATTCCTTGTAGAGTCTCCATGACGCTTTTTGCGCTTTCTTGATTGAAATACAATAAAATGGACATGAATGTTTTAAAAATAAAAATTGAAACAATGATTATGATGGTAATGTCTGGAATAAATCTTGCATGTTCATTCAGTTCAGGCTCTGAAAATATCACGTGAGGCATTTTTCACTGGTTTAACTGTTTCCGTTGCTGCTTGTGGTTTCTTCCCGCAGGGTGGTCATGTGTTGACTCCTCTCCCTTATGCCACACCAATGAAGCCAGGCTCAGCTGTAAGTATAACTCTGGCATATTCTCTTTGTATATTCAAGCAGAGGTATTGCACAGCTTAATGCTGTGTCCCAGTTATGCCCCTATCTGGACCAGGAGATACCACACACAATCATTTATATACATAAATCAGTGGGGTAGCTGGCAGGGAAAGTTGCAAGTTGTTGGGATAAGTCTTCCCCACTTGTGGACCCTTTCCCAGCCCCTTTATGCTTGTATTGCCCTAGCCACTCACACACCCCTGTGCACCCTCAAGTGTCACCTCTCTGCACCCTTATGACCCCTATCTGAACCTCACTGCATCTCCATTGCACCCTCACACAGTTCCATGAACCCTCACACACAGTTCCAAGCTTTACCGCACACTCCTGTGCCCCCATGTGCATTCTCTATGACCCTTACCTACTTCTTTTGCACCCTCCCTGACCGTTGCTAAATCTCACTCCCTGCAGACTTTCCCTGAGCCTTCTTTGTCTCCTTGCACACCCTCTTGTGCTCTTCCCAACCTGCCAGCAGCCACTTATCTACCTGCCAACGAGCCATCAGGGACTTGCAATTTCCTGCTGGCTTCCCCATTGAGTTGGCTGTGGGAAGCTGGGGGAAAGCTGCCTCACAATGTGGGATTCAGTTAATCATGGCAATCAGTATGCAGGAATTGTCTTTGTGAGGCAATGCAATTATGTTTTATGATCGCATTGCTTAGCATTGGAAATTCCGGTCCTAATTTTTATCATAAATACATGTAAACTATTTCATGGGTTGTTTTAGGGGCCATCTTTCTTCAGTTCTCTTTACCCATGTGGTCAGTTAGTTGAGCACAAGTGGTATGGTTGCTGTTTTTCTCACTTGCCATAGCAAGCTTGTTTCATGTTTTGTTTGTTTTTAATTCTTTGGTTGTATGGTTTTAAAATTTTGTTGGCCACCCACAGCCACATTTACAAAATTAGTAGCCATATAAAAAAATTAACTGAATGAGTAGTCTTTAAACAAAAAAGATTTAATTCTTGAAATCCAGACTGAAATCCAACCAGAAACTTTGAACTTAATGTTAAAGCTATATAAGTTGTTTTAAAAAGAAATTCTTGGAAATCTGTTTATAGAATTGCATAGGTAGGCTGCAAGCCACCTATAGCTTTCTTGGTGTTTCCAGCTCTATTTTCTTTGGCAAGCTTCTGCAAAGCTTAAGTACCCAGTTTCTTCTTTAAACTTGTTTCAACCACATTAAAAAATGACTGAATATCTTTCACCTGTTTCAGCTATACATTCCAGCAATCTTCTTTGAAGCCTCCAGATTGAACAAGATTGCCATTCCTATTAGAGATGGGGATGTCTTCAGCTCTGGGTTGAAGTTTCTTTCTTTCTTTCAAGTCTAGCTGCTATCTGCCGTATACTTAGATTTGATCTTTAAAATATTTCTAAAAATATTTCTTGACAGACTTTTCCTTTCTTTGGAGTGGTCCCTGCAGTGTTGGATGAATCTGGGGAAGAGTTAGAAGGAGAAGCTGAAGGATATCTGGTAAGAGAACATTATAATGATTGATAGCATTGCTTAATCACTATATGAAGTTTCATGGCCCAAATTCCAAGTTAATAACAAGTTTTTCCTGGACTGTTTATGCTTAACTCAGTTTCCTTACAGCATTTTGAGATCCCGGATGGATGCTGATAAAAGAACTGTATGTTTGGTTCTGATTTTTTAAAATAAATGTTATAAGTAATTGTGCAGTGAAGACCCTTTTGCTTCAAATTGTCTCTCATAAACTTCTGCATTTCCCATTTATCAGGATTAGTAACTGTTTAATTGTATATAAACTCTGGGAAAGGAAGATTTCGGTGAGTAAATAAATACCGAAGATATCACCTCTTCCTCTTCCAGTACTTGAGTACAGCATTTATTTAAACATACCAATCAATAATAATCCATTCAGTTGGGCCTTCTGTATCACAGATATTTTGACTCTGTTCAGTACTTTATGTAGTTTTCAGAGAGGGTTTGAGCAGTTCAGATTGATTTCTAGAAGTGGATACACTTTGTCTGCTTATCTTGGGTTAATTTGCATCGCTTTTTACCAGTATTTTTTTTATCAGGAGTAGGAGATCATGGATATGCCTGCAGAATAGACTGGTGCCCACTAGCTGAAAAATAACAGGGTGAGGTTGGAGGACAAAGTTGCTTGGGAGCTATCCAGCCTCTGGGTCTGATTACTACATTTCTGTTTATCTAATATGATATCATTCTGTTTCTGAAGTTAGTTACTAGTTTGATTTTAGAGCAGACTAGTCATTATTGTTTGTGCTAATATTTATTCATTATGCTATGACCTAAAGTTATAAAGTAATACATTTCTAAAAATCAGGTGGGGACAATATGAAATTTTCCAGGTCCTATCACTGCTGCATTCCTGAACACTAAAATACTTGTCAGTATATTGTCTTTTTTGTTTTAATTCTGTGCTTTGACGTCAAGCAGACCTCTGTCCAAGTCCTTTCTTAATATGATGACATGTAGTTGGGAATTTGGCCTATTCTTTTTATCAAATCCAAAATATGGTATGTTGAATAAACTACAGATGTGTGGATCATGGACAGTGCTAAAACACTAACCATGATTTACAAGCCCCACTCTTTGGGTTCATACACAGAACTAAATCTGAATCATATAAACCACATTATACTTTGTATTTTGCTTGAACTCAGCCAGTGAAGTTTTCTACTTTCCTCACATTTCTCACCTATAATCATCTTTAGGTTTTTAAGCAACCCTGGCCTGGAATAATGCGCACAGTGTATAAAAACCACCAGAGGTTTGAGACAACCTACTTCCAAAAGTTTCCTGGTTATTATGTGACTGGAGATGGTAAGTTTTCACAAAGGAACTTTGACTCAAAAATATTATCTTATGAAGCTTGCTTCCTGTTTAATTTGGAAATATTTAAGTATGTTAGAAGTCCTCATACTTTTCTACTATGACCTCATCAGTTTCCAGCAGTTACATCTGAATTCTTTTAAAGTAGAACTCTTTTATAGATCTCAGGTTTTTGAAGAAACTATTCACAGCCCTGGAATGAAGCACACTTTCTCATGTATGCAATGACTTGACTGGTCAGCTTTTCAGGTTTCTCAAGCAGAGTTCAGCCTTTCTCCAAATAATCCTTACTGTTTCACCTCTCACACTCCTGGTGAGATCTTCTTGAGTAGGCTTCCATAATCCACTCCTTGATAGTCAATTCTTTGTCTACTTACTTAGGAGGAAGTGTGGAAATCTCTGCTTTCAGCTTCCTTACCCTTTCTCAAGCTTATTAGAGCAGCCAAAAAATACTGAATGGGAATGTTAATTCCAGAAGTTAATTAACATTAAAGTTAATAAATTAATTGAATAGTGAATGAGGGAGGAAAAAGAAAATTATGAATCATGCAGATTTTACTTAGTGGCTATTATTTTGGGTAGCAGTACATCTACAATCAATATTACACACATGACGCACACACAAATGCACACTCTATAACTACTGCCAATTAGAACTTAGGATTGAAAGGAACAATTCAGCTTAACTCATGAAATACCGTAACCAAAGGAGTTTAAATCTCAGATTTTTTTTTTAGAATTCTAAAAGCTCTGGCAGACTAAATAGTATGAATGATTTAGGTTTGATTATAAACTCTTCTGGGTTTGAACCTCTTGGGTTGGGATTTGTTTGCATTCATTACAGACCCAGGTATAAAGGCTGAAAAATTGAGGGGCAAAGATTGAGAGGAACTTAAAGTCTAAAGGCCTTAATTTTATCTCTCTTCCAGGCTGCAGAAGAGATAAAGATGGTTACTACTGGATCACAGGTCGAATTGATGACATGCTGAATGTTTCTGGTAAGAACCAAATTCTTGTGGAAGGATAAAAGTTGCTCTTATTGACATAATAAGATTTTTAACATGGTATTTTGGGGCTGATCCATTTTTTCTTCAAATAAGAATGTGCTTGGTCATTGTTGGAGAATACAAACAGTGATAAAGGAGCAAAATATCCAGTAATCACCCTTTGTCCTACCAGAAAAGCCAAATCAGGACATGAACAAATTTAAGTAATTTCATGTTGCTAGTTTTAATGAGACATTTAGAAAATTAAACTGGCAAGAAATAAATGCTTATGTCCTAAAAATTGTTTCTGTTCTTTTAGCAAAGGAAAAGTGAACCAAAAAGAGTTTTTTTAACTATATGTCTACAGCACACATCTATACATTGGCTGTAGCATTGTATTTATATAATTTATTTTTTATATTTATTTCCTCTAAGCTTAAAGGTTGTCCTTTATTTGTACCTGACAAATACAAACACGAAGAAAGCTGGCATATAATATATTAAAATTATAATTATACAATTAATATTATATATTTAAAAATAAAATATGCCTTGCATCAAGAAGCCATGTATTCTCTTATGGCAGACTATTAACACTGTTGGGAGAAATGGAAGCTTTAAGTGCCTACTAAAATTGCTAACCTTTTTGGGTACAACTATAAATTCTCATTCTCTATAAAATTGGCTTTTCTAAACTCTTGTGTCAAAATTTTGTGATCTTAAATTTTATTTTTCAACTTTTACAGTATGATTTTTCCTAAGAATAAAAAAATAAAAGCAAAGGAATTAATAAAAAATGTGACCAGCTTTATGCTTTACATTCTGATTCATAGCTTGATTCAATAATATATGCTTTTATATAAAAAGAAAAGAATGGTGGGACAAGACCAATTTAAAAAACAACTTTCTTTTTTTTGCAGGGCATTTACTGAGCACAGCGGAGGTTGAATCAGCACTTGTAGAACATGCTTCTATCTCAGAGGCAGCCGTAGTAAGCCACCCACACCCTGTAAAGGGAGAATGCCTCTACTGTTTTGTGACTCTGAAGGATGGACATGATTTCACAAACAAACTGATTGATGAACTGAAGAAACAAGGTAATTGTGTTGGCTGAAATCAGAGAAGCACATTGAAACTTGTAGATCAAGCCAGATAAACTTATAAAAAACTATTAGATTGTGGGAAATAGGATACAAGGACCCTGAATGTAGAATGCAGGAATGAGCAGTATGTGGTCCTCCAGATCTTGCAGAAATTAATTTACAGCAGTCCCAATAAGAATGGGGTCAGTAATGGGGAAGGTTGGAATTTATGTTGTATGAGAAGGCTATGGTATGTCCATTTCTGTATTCATGTCTGAGTGTAATCTCATTAGATTGCTAGTGTTTCTCCTGGTTAAATGTAATTGTCCCAAATCTACCACTTCCAGATTTTTCAGGGCTGCAGCTTCCTCGCCAACGTGGCCAAATTTGGGGTTTTGCCAGAATTCTGGATGCCAGACTTGGAAAAAGCTGTATCAAATTATTAAAAGGAGATGGCAAGAATACCACATGGGACCCTTGATATGTACATTATGCAGTCTGATATTTTGTGGAATCAAATGTCTTCCCCATTAGTGGAATCGATATAGCATCAACATGTACAGCAAAAGGAAAGTCCTGTAATGGATTTAATGGTCTCTATCCCATGATTACCCATGAGCTTTGTTGTGGCTTTTCTGGGATAAATCCTTGTCTAACAGAATGCCTAGTTCCTCAGCTTGGCTGAAAGAGTGCTTTTCAAATCAAGGGGACACCTTTTGGTTCTGCCAAAACTACATTTAGTCCTTGCCTTTCATATGCCCTTGTGGCCAGCTGGCATCCACTTTCAGTATTTAAGAGCACACTGTATACCCATGAATATGGTGGGAATTCTGCAAAAATGTGTACATAGTGACTCTCCAACTGTCAACAAGTGAAGAATGCATTGGCATATTTTGTGTTTATCTGGCCCAGGCCTTTTACATAATTCTGTTATTTCTTAATATGCAGAGAGAAAGAATTGCTTGCATTTCTTTTTCCTACAATAGTCTTTTGGAGATAAGTAATTACTGAGTAATCCATTTACAGTTAAACATAAATTCTGAAAAATCCTTGTGCCTTTCAAAAGCATTTTAATGGAGAAGATTTTCCTAGGAAATACATCTTGCATTTTGACTTCTAAGATTTTTAATCTTGTGTTTGTAACTGCAAGAGCTTGTGAGAGTGGGAGTATCCAAGGCCATTCTGTTAGTTCCTATAGGAAGAGGCATGGCCAGGGCTCCAGGAGAACTGTAACCAGATGTAAACATCCCCACCTCCCAATTTCTATACAACACGTAGGGATTCCATAACATACATTATTATAGTTGTAATGGAAGCAAATATTTGTAGCTCAGAGGTGGCATGTTGCCTTGCCTGAGATTTTTGAACTTGGTTTTTCGGTTATAAACATGTAATTATAATATCTAAGGGACTGCCACAAAGAAGAAGCAGTGCTTTTCATAGGTTGTACCACTTTTAGGATATGACAATATTTGAATACCACCAGTGCTTAGCAAGATGTCGAAAACCTGATGACCAAAAAAAAGGGAAAAAAGTACCAGTTTTAATTTCTTCGGTGGCTGTTCCTTTGCTGAATCACTTTCCCTTTGCACTGACGAACATATGACGAATTTATCCATATCCTCCCTCTCCTCTGTCTCTCTTTTACAGCCTCTACTCCTTCATTGATCCCTCTGCTTGTCTCATAGAAGCCTCTCCTCTTCTCCCTCTCTCTCTCTCCTCACTGCTTGTCTCACAGAAGCCTCATCTCTTCCCCCTCTTTCTTTCTCGGTCCCCTTCTCTCTGTCTTTTTCTTCTTTTTTCCTCTCCCTCTCCCTCCTCCTTTTATATCCTCTCCTCTCCCCCCTCCTCCTTTTCTTTTCCGGGTGCACCATCTCTGGGATTCAGGGAGAGCTCCAGCATCAGTTGCTACCCCAGTCTCATTCCCCCACGCAGTCACCCAATCCCTGGCTGGCGATTGCACATAGTGCTGATCAGCTGGAGCTGTGCGCGATGATCCTGGGGCCTCTGCCGAGTCCTGGCAGCCCTGCAGTTCCAGCTGACTCTCTCACCCCAAGGCCCGTCTGCTATTCCCAGTGATAGCAGAGGCTGTCGGAAGCGCCGGTCAGCTAGAGCTGCACGTGCTGATCCTGGGCCCTCAGCAGAGCCCCAGCAATACCGCAGCTCCAGCTGACTCTCCCCCAGACCTGTGCTGTGCTGCCACCACTTCAGCTCTTCCCCCCCACTACAGTTGTCTAGGTTGCATACCACCTGCCAGGTGCTGAAGTACCACCAGTGGTATGTTTACCACTGGTTGAAAAGCCCTGCTCTAAAGCACATGGAAGGCAGAAAAAGCAGCAATGGATGGAAGCTAATCAGGAAGAGGACCACCTTAGAAATAAAGAGAAATTCTCTGTCAGAACAATTAATCAGGGAATGGCTTGCTTTCAGTAGTTGTGGATGTGGTAATCATTGAAGACTTTTAAGAAGAGATTGGCCAACCACTTGTCTGAAATGCTATAGGCTCTCCTGATTGAGCAGGGGTTGGACTAGAAGATCTCCAAGGTGCCTCCCAACTCTGCTATTCTGTTATAATGACACTACTAGACAATTTCATTGTAAAATTTGGGAAAAGTGAGGTTGTGATTGGCATTTGTTGAATATCCTTCAGTTTTACTTACTTTCTGAATGCTTGCAGGGGATGATCCTCTAGACAGATGTTATTTTGCAGATGATTGATAGCTCCATGCTGATTATTTACTTGGATTGATAAGATCATGGCTCATTGTGTTGGTGGCTTCTTGTAAGGTTGATGGTGTTGATAGCTGTGTAATGGGGCTGCTGGTTGGGGTGTGTGCTGGAATCAAATTCATCAAAGAAGGAAACAACAAACTACTCTTTTGCCAGATCCTTATCAGCAGAAAAAGTAACAGCAAACCACAAAACCAAGTCCACTTAAAAGCAACCTATACAATCCAAATATTACTGATACACTTTATGTATACTTTGAGTTTTCTGAAAATAGACATCAAGAAATGCTGGGCAGAAAAAGCAACATATTTAGATGAAATAAAACAATGATATAAGTTGTTAAAAAGTGAACTATTGTTACATGAAAGTAGAAACTGTAAAAAAACATTCTCAATAACAAGGCAGAAAGTAGAAACACTAAAGGGAAGTTGCATTATGATTTATAAATGTCAATTTTTATCATCATGTCCATTCCTCCCGAAATCCCTACTGCATGTGTATAAATAGATCTTGTGAGGAAAAGTAGCACTGTGGAATTTGTTTTGGGTTGAAATCTGCCTACACCTCCATCCCCCACCTTTAGGTTTTGTTTCCTCCTTCAACAATTGGTCTTTTTTGTGTCCCATCACCTTAAATTCTTTTTTACTTGGCTATTATTTTTCTTAGCTATTTGATTTTTTTTAAAAAAAAACTTAAACCTTCCTCTAGTCTAGTATGTAAATGGGATGGTTCTGCCTGCTTAAGAATTATCATTCAGATAGCATATGGTAAGTTCATGTTATGATTTAATATTTCATATTTAAAAAGTACTCATATGTATCATCCTCTAGTGGCAGATTGCAGTTCAGAAACTGAACATATCTAAATAGAGATAAGACCCCACTTATCAGCCATCTTATAGTAGAGATCAAATGACTCTTCTGAACATGATTTTTTTAAAAAAAATTTCATAGGAACTATGAACATTTTCATTTTCTTATTTGCAGTCAGAGAAAAGATTGGTCCTATTGCAACTCCAGATTATATCCAGAATGCTCCTAGCCTGCCCAAAACCCGCTCAGGTATGTTTTGATTTTGATACCGTTACGTTGCAGTTTCTTGCTAGCTACTAAATGCTATATTTGTTGTGTTTTAAGAATCAGTGTGAGACTTTAAGTCTTTAGGAATGAATGGGCAACTAATCTGTAAGTATACAGCTTGTAAATTACACAATCATTTATTTGTACACACACACACCACACACACACACACACACACTCTTACTGAGCTAAGGGCACTTATATTATTATTACAAGCTATGGGTAGGTGTGTATATCTATTACAGGATAAGGCTGAACCTGCTTTGGCCAGAGCATATCCTTTTAGAACAGTGATTATTCTTTTGGCAAAACATATTTGTAGAACAAGGCCAAACCTTTTTTTAAAAAAATGATATCTCAGGTTGGAATCTCATTATTTTAGATCCAGGGTCCCTGGGTGTATCCATTATGTGTCAGATTTATGAATGGATTTTAATTGTCTAGAATCCTATATTTTGTACAGCTGCATAAATCTTACTGTTTTGCAAATCATTTTACTTCATTTTCTTTGCATGACAGATTCAGAGGGCCGCATAAATTATTATCTGTACAGGATTAATAATTAACCAATTCCCTAATTTCTTTATCATAATCAGAGTCAACTTAAATACTGTACTTTCTTTGTAGGTAAAATTATGCGGCGGGTATTAAGGAAGATTGCAAAAAATGACCGGGAACTGGGCGATACCTCAACAGTGGCAGATCCAGTAGTTATAAACCATCTTTTCAGTAACAGGTGTGAGACAATAATGTAGCATGGCTATCCTACAAAAACAGCAGAAATGTAAGAATTTGATGAGAATATGGCCCCTGAGAGACAATGACCTGAAATGGGAAATTGCTGTGTGCTGATCTCAATATAAGATCCTAAAAAGAAGACAAACTGGTGCTCCAACATCCAGTCCTTTCATGTTGTAAATCTAGCTTTGTGCCTCTAGCATTATGTGTGTTATTTTATAGTCCAATACTCCACATATGAAATTTCAGCCTCATTCATACAATATTTCAATTATTTTTATTTTTACATTTAATATGCTATAATTGGTGGAGCTTAGAACATGCAGATTCTGGTAAGAAGAGGCTTTCCTCCTGAGTTGTAGTTATGAGCCTTCAAAAGGCTTGAGGACTAATAGATTAAGCAGTAATCCTCATGTTGAGGTAGTAATATTGAAATGCATATTTTTAAGAATTAACCATTTGTTTTAACAAAAATTATCCTGAGTATCCCAGCTGCATAGCATAGAAAATGAGACATTTTAAAGAAAACTGCAAATATGAAGCTGTGTAAAATTATTTTTCCAGGGTTATCTCTGTTGAAATATAAACTGGAAAGGATTATTATACTTTTTTGTCCCCCAAAGGAATAACACTATTTACAGATTCTAATTTTCAATAATGCTTGTGTGCTTGAATGCACACATTTGAATGTTTGCAGTATATTGTTCCATGATGAATGCAACTTCAGTTGTTCTAGACATTAAAGCTGTGCTGTATGCCTAGATATTATATAGAGGGAGGCTTTTTTTCTAGAAATATTTGGTGCAATGTCAACGCCAGTTGAATCTGGGTAGAGAAATATATCTATTATTTTCATTAATGGATGAGAAGCAGATGCTATAAATATTAAAGGAAGTAATTGTGTGATCAGCTTGTGTCCCACAGTCAAGTAAAGGAAATGAATATATATAGTCAGAGATTCTGGACTGTTGGAATGCATTTGGTTACACTGAGGAAGTATCTTCCAGATATACCTAAATTTAGTCAAATTGATCCTGCTTTCTCCATGTGATCATTGTGTAGATCATGTGTATGACCAAAGTCAAGCTGTTGCTCTTATGAAAGAAAAAAAATGGCTACCAACCAGCAGACACATTTTCTTCAGTCAGATGACTAATCATAGTTAATTAATCTTGTTTCTTCTTGAAATTAGGGAGGTTCAAATTTAGTTTTAGATCTGATATGGATACTTAGGTGAGGAAAACATGAAGCCTTCAATCCTTGCAGATTAATAAATGCATATGATGGGAAAGGCTTGTTTCAAATTTGCCAAGGTATTATATAGCACTTACTGTTATTCACCTTGCAATGTCTTTGTATTAGAAATTGCCATTTACTATCTGAAACATTTTTTTTTGCCTGTGATAACTATGTTGTTGCATCCCTGAAGATATCTGCATTATCCACAGAGCAGCTTATAACTGTATGCCCCTCATATTGTGTATTTCATTACAGTGGTCATTGCTTTATCTTTGCTCATGGGTATATTTCTCATTTTTTAATCTGTTGATGGTAGTCTAAATGTACTTGTGTGTGATCTGCAACATTGATATGCATATAACTATGTTCTACAACACTGATAATAAGCCAGTGGCTTACTCAAATGCTGTTAATACAAATTCTTATTTTTGAACACAGAATGATATAAATATGGCTGGGAAATGGGAAAAATGTTTTAATTGGAATAAATTAAGAAGATAATACCTATAACATAGTAATAGTGGGTGTTTTATGTTCCTTGTTTTGAATGATAAACCAGGACTCTAGTGTGTTTTGCTTAACTTTTCTGGCATTGTTTCTTCTGTCTACATTTATTTATAAATTAGTAAACCTAACAATTAAGGCATCTACTAAATTGTATTAAACTCTTTATAGATAGTCCTCAATGTATGACCACAACTGGGCCAAAAATTTTTGTTGCTAAGCAAGGCAGTTGTTAAGTGAGTTTTGCTCCATTTTATGACCTTTCTTGCCACAGTTAAATGAATCGCTGCAGTTGTTTAGTAAAATGGTTACTAAATGGGGTTGGTTCCCCATTGATTTTGCTTCTCAGAAGGTAGCAGGATGCTGCAGCTGTCATAAATATGACTGAATTGCCAAGTGGCTGAATTTTGATCATGTGACCATGGGGATGCTGGAATGATCCTAAGTGTGAAAAATGGTCATAAGCCACTTTTTTCAGTGCTGCTGAAACTTTGAACGATCACTAAACGAACTGCTATAAGTCGAGGACTACCTGTTTTCAAATTGGGACTCGTTATTAGGGCTGTGCATTGCTCTGGATTCAAAGGCAGATGGCTGATTTGGAGCATGTACCAGCACTTGGCTGCATCTTCCTAAACCAAATACATCTTTTTCTAGGAGTGTGTTGCATATCAACCGTGCAATCTCAAGAGGTGGCTGCTTTAAAGAATTGCAAAGCTGTGTTGTGTAAATATCCCTGTGCACCAGAGCATATTTTTCCTTTTGAATTCAAAACAATGCATATTCTTGTTGTGGTATTGATTATTAATTGGCTGCAGTGAACTTTTATCAACAAAGGTAGATAAAAGGACATAATAAAATGTGGTCTAGTATCTTGCAGTAGAATTTAAACTATGTAATAAAGCTAAAAGAAAATGCAAAAGAAAAATCAGTAACATTTCTTCTGCATTATGGAAGAGTTGTACTGGTGGATTATGAATTTGTCTACTCAATGCTTCAGATTTGAGATCCGCTTATCCTTTTTCAAATTGTGGTTACACAAATCTACAGTTTATACATAGTAAGGCCATACATGACTATATATTCATACCAAATTGCTGTCTCCCAAATATGCTGATCACATTAACTGGATTCTGTTGGTTTGCTAAAATGTAGGATTTAACGTCATAGCATATAAAATATCATAACATAAAATATTTCCAACTTTAGAAATATAATACTTTGCAATTGATAAAAATGTCAGAAGGTAATGACCCCTCCCCCCAAAAACCCCCACTGGTTCTATGCTAGAAACCTAGGGGGGGGGGGAGACATATAATTGTCATCAATTATTTTTCAGAATATTTTCCAATCTATAAAATTATTCTGATTCTTAATACTGTGTTCTCATATAGCTCCATTAATTCTCTAAGCCTGTCCTCTAAAATTAAGTAAGGCTGTAGTCAAAATATAAAAGAAACATATATAGAGAAGATATCTTTTTAAAGTGAAGTGCTAAGGTGTGAAAGACTGAAAAGATAGTATACTGTCAATAATATTACAAGAAGGATATTTTGTTTTCTGCAACGAGACAAAATCCATTGTTTCAATTGGAGATTTAAGAATTGAGTTTTAAAAATAACCATACTAACACACGTTCTTCATATCAGTAGATCTGATTTTTAAACTTACACATTTGCTATCTTACTGATACTTTTTTTATATTGACTCAGTGACATGAGACAGAACTGATGAGTCTTTCACTACTATTTTTAGTTCAAATTAGTTCTAATAAACCTGACTGCTATAGACATTTTGCATGTTAAAGTTGGTTTTGAAATCTTTTCCCACTAAACGCATCTTTTGTCTTTTTCTTAGATCTGTTGCTTTATAAAATACGGATGGGTACAGGGATCACTAAAGTGGAAATGATTTTACACTTTTTATTATGTCCCTTTACCTAATACTAGTGTTTGTGCATTTTTCAAAAGAGCTTATCACAAGCAGCATAAAAACCAACATAGATACTGTACATCATTCTTTTTTGTTTTCGGGTCATTTTTATGCAGAAACAGAGTGAAACAGGAAGTTTCCCAAAAGACTGTAATTCTGGAAGAATTTAATTCCTTATTGCTACTTTGGGAAAAACAGAATTATATCTTGAATATGTAGAAAGTTATCAAGAATATTTTCTGCTATCAGAAATCCACATGTTCTTTTAGGAGATACTTATCATCCAGTTGACCATGATAGATAAAAAGCATATTAGGTCCGTAAGATGCATCTTTGACAGGATATTGCAGAAAATTTCAATGTAGGTAATTTAGAATCCTCTATTTTCTGGGTAGGACTGCAGATTATTAAAGAGAATTGTTATAAATTTGATTACCAAGTCTGCTATTTGGCAATCATGCCTTTAAAAAAATATGTCCTTTTTTATATCATATAGGGAGTATCCAAGACAGCTACACCAGCTGCTACTCCACCATCTGCATGTTCTATAGCCTTTGTTCTCAACAGATGGCCCACATGCTTGTTCATCACAAGAGTTTGACCATGTCTGCAAGGGGAAAAAAAAAGTATATATAAGATTGCTCAACCATTTATCTGTAATCCTGTTAGAGTTCCATTAAGCAAAGCTGCTTGATTCTAAGCAGATCATTTATGTATGTACACTTGCTCAACAATTCTGCAATGGCAAGCCAAAACACCTTACTCTTATAATATCACTGAAAATATTTCTGTTGTAAGCAATGGAAGAATTTGTTTATTTAAAGTATACGGCTGCCCATATTATGGCACACAACTGTGGAAAACTAACAAATGATTAAAAACACAAAGTTATTTGTTTAAAATTTTTTTTAAAAGCAGGCGTCCACACCATCATCTACATCATTGATCTATGCATCCTCTTGACTCCAACTTTATTATCTCAACACCTGGGGGAAAAGCCAGTTCTGGAGTTTTAGAGCATGGGACTGTTGTAATCCATCAGAAATCTACTTAAGAATCAGTATAGCTTAACAGGTAATGCTCAAGCACAGAGTATCCAGAAATGTGCTTGGAAATAGCAGGAAGATTATCAGGAGGTGGCAGATAGGATTACTTTGTTCTAAAATTGATTTATTTTACATTCCCTTATTATGTGGTTTCATTAAACATAGCAAGGCGGTATATTAAATCGACTAGTTGTGCTGAGGATTGAACAGATATTCCTATATGTACATGATAAATTTAATGCAACATGTAGTGATTTCTAGCACCTAATTCATCTTTATGGTCAGTAAGTTGAATTGGATCACTAGTCTATTTAGCTTGGTACTGTCTACTGTGAAGAAGTCTTGAGGCTCTAGCACACGGATATCAAACTCGATCGTGTCACAAGAAGTATTGTGACATATCACAATATTTTTTGCCTTTGCGGAGCCGGGGTGGGCATGGCCCGTGCATGATGCATCTGGCCCATGGGCTGCCAGTTTGACACCCCTGCTCTAGCATAATACTTTAAGCCATAGCTTCAGATGCCAAGAACTGAAACATGTGACTATTTGCATACAAAGTATGCTTTACCACCAAATATTTTATTAAAATGCTAAATTAAATTTCAGTTCAATATATATAAAGTTGAGTACTTGCCACATGATTCAGAGTGCCATACATTATCAATAAATAATCCACAATCCATACATATATATAAGAATAATATAATGAATAAATAATTTTAAAAAGTATAAAAACATAAGGATATAAAGTACCAGGAAAAATTCAACTAACAGAAACATGCTACTTCTTGATCCATGACTGGGAAAGGACCAGCCGTTTAATATCTTTCAAAGACAGGCAGTCTGGGCCAATGAATCTCAAGGGGCTACTGTTCCATCCTCACAAAAGGATATAGTCTAAAATGATAGGACCGGAACACACCAACTCCGTAGGATGTTACAGATGAGCAGAAATAATTCAAGATCGGCAATTCCACTAATAACCTGGCCCATAGCCATGAAGGGTTTTACAGGTAAGAATCAGTACCTTCAATTGAAAGTGGAAGCTCACTGCTAAACAGCAATGATAATGATAATTAAGGGTAGCCCCATGAAATGCACATGGTAATAATCCATCTGAGATGCCCGAGATATGAGTTGTCATAAGCAGGGCCTCTTGATCCAGCAGCAGATGCAACTGACACACAAGGTGGAACTGTGCATAGGGCCTCTGGTCATAGCTGCTACCTGCCCTTCAAGCAGGAGCTATAAGATAGAAGGACCCATATGATGTACTATTTCTACCTGAAGAAATGTAACTCTGTCTTGGAAATCTCTGGATCCAGGGAGTACTACAGTCACTAGGTCTGTTTCCCCCCTTCCAAGTCCCTATGGCTTTCACACAACAGTATCACAAAAAGGCTTGCGGTGGAAATATACAACTGAGTGTCATCAACATCTGATAACACTGCTGGTATATGACCTCACCAGCAGTCTGGAAAGTGGGAAGTGGGAAGAGAACTGAGCCTTAAGATATTCCACAAAGCAAGGACCTTGGGCTAGATCTTTCTTTCATTAATGCTAACTGAACACCAGAGGAAGGACGAGTACCACCTCAATACCATGCCTCCCATTCCCAAACCCCTGAGTCGGTTCAGAAGGGTATTTTATCAAATGTCAGCGAGAGTTCAATATGATGGATGGACCAATCCCATTCTGGTTCTGTCACAAGTCATCACCAAATGTGACAAATGTTGCGTTCATACCATTTTCAGGTAGGAAAGGAAACTCAACTGAAAGAGATCCAGATAATTATGCCTCAGCCAGAACCCTTTGAAACTGTAGCCTGACCATGTTCTCAACATGGAGACAGGCCAGAAACTGTCTGACAGAATTGAATCCAGCAATGAGAAGAGGGTGACAGATGTGACACCTACTGATGTGCAGGTAGGCCCATCCCCTCTCAAGAAAGAATTCGCCATTGCTTGGACCCAATCTCATGTTACCTCCTGGGAGGCCTTAAATGAAACAGGAGGGGCATCAATT